TGAGGCCAATAGGAGAAGGGGACCAGGAACTAGAGAAAAGGTTAGTTCAAGAAGAATTAATTTAGAAGGTAACACACATGTACAGGAAATCAATGCATGTCAACTCCCTGTACAGATATTCTTATCTCAACCACCAAAAACCCTTGTTCCTTTCTATTATTGCTTATACTCTCTCTTCAACAAAACTAGAGATAAGGGCAGAATAGTTTCTGCCTGGTAGCGAGGGGTAAGGGGGAGTAAGGGAGGGGGTGGTAAGAGAGGGGGCGGGGGGAAGGGGGGAGAAATGACCCAAACAATGTATGCACATGAGTAAAATAAAAATTAAAAAAAAAGTATTCTATTCTCTGCACGTTATGGGTAGAATATTTTCTTGACACTTATCATGGGCAATAAGTGACATCATTAGAAATTTACTTGAGGGATTAAAATTAATAATCAGGCAACTTTTGAATAGCAAAACCTAAAGATTTCCTTTTAAGTACTTAACAAAATCAAATCTAGTTTCCAATTATAATGACAACAGTCCAAATATATGAGGATTCTATTTGAAATATCTGCCAGGTCTTGTGTTTCACCATTGAGGGTTTTCTCAAGTATCATTCATATTCAGCTGCTCAAAATGCAAAAGTGCTATATTTAATTCTTAGTCAATTTAATTAAAAGTTACAAGATTATCTTTTTTCTTCTGGATGCAATAAAATGAAAAACTTTAAGTTTTCTGTACATTCGTGGTACTCAATGACTTAAGGCCGTAGATGAAAACAGCCACAAGAAAGCGATTACAGTCAGCTTCATTCACAGAGGAGAGACACAGCAAGGCCAAGTACCTACTCATCTACTCAAATGCTATAACTTTCATGGAAGTGGAGTGCTAATTACTACTACTTTTCACTTACTGGTTGGAGAAGGTAGATGAGCGATTCCTCTTGGATCATTATAGTTGGAAAAGGAGTGATATGAGTAGCTTGGAACAGGGTATTCACAGATGCCATGATCTGGTCGAAGCGCCCAGCCAGGCCTCCAAGTGTGACAATCACATCAACCTGGACAAGGTAGGTAAAACTAGGAGTCACATTATTTAAATAATTTAAAACAGTGAACAGCATCGAATATTTGAACAGAGCTTTCAGTACTATAATTTTTTGGTGAGAAATAAAGACAACAGATGTTTTCGTTGTCTGAATGACGAAATTAAGTTCTTATTGAAGGTCAGAAAACTGAAAGTGCCAGATGTCAACTATCATTCTTGAGAACAAGCTGAAGTCTTTCTCATCAGCCTGTTCTAGAAAACCAGCCAATCTCTCCCACCACTGCATTTATGCATTCCTTTCATACGGGTGACGTATCTGATTTATAACATATCAGCATAGTCGAAAGCAGAATATTGATCATGAAACACGGAGTGTGGAAGAGCTTAATTAAAATATTGTAAGGAAACCTTGTGTACAATAAAAGCTGATGGTAATAATCTACTTGCTATATAGCAAAAGTTATTTAAAAAATAAAGAGTATTTTGCTTTTAGGTTTTAAAATAGTCCATTTAAAAAATTAGGAAATATGTAGTACATAAAGATAGCAGGATTTTAGAAAAATAACCTGCTAGACAAACACCAATGGAACTTATTTAATTCCTAAGTAACAGTATGTGGAATTCACCCAAAAGGCTGTGTCTCTCGGCTCAGTGGCATTAGTGCCGATACTTTGTGTAGTGCTAAAAGTATACATGTAAGATGCTCAAAGGTTCAATGAAAAAAATAAATGAAGACATTGCCAAAAAAAAAAAAAAGACTCATTACCCTAAAGAAGAAACAGCTGCACTATTATACTGTGGGGATAGATAAATCATGATGGGAGTCTATAAAAGCACTAAATGTATGCTATACAGAGGAACTAAAAAATTTGGAATGAGTTTCCTATTTCTGACTTTAATCAGAATGTAGGGACAATGGGGATTTTTACTTTGGATAAAATTCTTCATGTCAAAGTTAGTTTACTTTAATATCCTATTTGGAAAGACTCTTCTATAACTTTAAGAATTAGATTTTGGGCCCAGGCAGACCAAGCACCCTAGGAAGCATGCATTATTCTGAATACACAGGAAAATCATGGCCATCTATTCATCTTCAGAGGGAACAAGTACCTTGTAAGCAATTAGACTTAGACTTGCTAACGTGATGACTTCTATTTGGGGCATTAAGTTAGGTAACTGACTTCTACTAGGTCGTGTGGAGAAACCTAGTCCAGTCCAGTGGGGAAACGCTTAGGGACATCTATGACCACAGGAAAACTTAAGGAAATTTGCTTTAAGGTGATAAGGAATACAATAAAAGAAGATATATTTAAATATGGACAGTTTTATGGCTCCAATGAAAAGTATACTTGGCATATCCTTATCCATATAGTCCTAAATTCACATCAAAAGTAAGGCTTGAAAGAAGTTTATTCACTATTCAGATTCTGGAATGCTTTTTTTCAGCTTCTCAATTTTTCATTACTATACTTTAGGCCTTGAGGGATCCCATAACCTTTAAGGCTGAAATTTAATTCCCATCTTCTACAATGGGATATCATGATGAATAAGCAATATCTGTAAATCAGTCACTGAATTTTTCAGAAGAAGCAGCAAGATTACTTCTCATCACTACTCATTTTCCCTACAGGAAGTATTTAGCAAGACTGATTAACAACATTAACAGATCGATGCAAGCTGCAGGTGGGGCAGGGGAGAGACTGTTCTCTGGTTCTAGCTGTGAGTGGGGCAAGATAGTCACTGAAATACAAAAAAAAGAGGACAGACTGCACTCCTGCATATTCTCATAGGTTTTAGAAGGCTAGATTTATGTCTTTGGGAAAATAATGCCACTAAGACAGGATGTTTCAGCAAAAACAGCCCAAATGCAGACTATTAGGGTGCCTTTTCTATCTAGGTGAAGCCAAATCCCTGTGTATTTATTTCTAATACCTCCTAGTCATGTTTTGTTATAATCTTTGATATTCTTATGTATTTCTCCTTCTAGAGGTCCATGAATCACAGACCACAGCAGTATTCCCAAAGAAAAAGCTTCCCTTAAGGATATAAATACTGAAGAAAAAACTAAAGATGAGTAAATATGCAAGAAGCAGTTATTAGGCTGAGGTAGCACGCTGCAATTCCTGCAAATTAGTACTTCCCTACTTTGCAAGTTTCAGTAATTAATAGCTTTAAAAAAAGCTAATGAAAAATTTACTACCTAAGATATGTATGTGATGAATTTATGAGTTTAATTTGTTAGTTAATAACAAACAAATAAGAAAAGCTCAAGTTCTTATTGATCATTTCCCATGTGCTCAGAAATGTCTCAAATACTGAGGATATATTAAAGAAAACAAAAGTCCCTTTCTTTGTGTGGTTGATATTCAAATGGAAAGTAATACATAGTTGATGAATTTGTTAAAGTATATTAGTTATATATTTTTAAAAGCCAATAAATGGTAATAAAAGTAACATAGGGAAAGAGAGATCAAAACTGCTGCTCGGGACTGTACTCCAACTTTAAATATGTCAGCTAAAGCAATTTACAAAAAGAGAGTCGCAGCCACAACCCAACAGAGGTGGAGGAATTGCAACAGAATCCAGGGTCAGATGGTATATAGGGTGGAGGGAATGTTCAGAGAATAGACTGTAGCAAGGCCATGAAGAAGACATGTCTCCAGGCATTTTCAAAGGGCATCAAGAGGCTAGTTGCTAGACTGAATGAACAATTAGTAGGAGCAGAAGGGAAAAATCAGTGAAATATGAGTGTTAGATTTATATAGATCCTGCCTGAACTATCCAATTGTTGACTTAACCTGCATTTGGATATCCAATAGAGACCTCAAAGTTTTCCTAAATCATGTTCCACACATGAGTTGCTCCAGCCAAAATCCTGGAGTCATCCTTGATGTCTGTTTCTCTCACATCTTTATTTATTCTCACGGGAAATTCTATCAGCTCTTCTTTTAATATATATTCAGAATGTCTCTACTCTTTACACCTTCATGATAACTGTGATCCAGCCACCAAAATCTGACAGGGAATGGAGTCAGTGCTGTATCTCACTTGAATTACCACAATAACCCCCAACAGGTCTATTTCTACTCTTATTTATTCATAATCTATCCTAATATAGTAACAAGAATATTCTTCTTAAAACGTAATTGACATTGTGACCTTCTGCTCAAAATCCTCCCAACCAGTTCTCCAATGACTTTTATTATAATCTACAAAGTCCTGCAGGATTTTATCTCTAGTTACCTCTCTGTGACCTCACTACAGGCTACTGTAGCAGGCCCATTGGGGAACAGAACTGAGTTGATTTGTGGGTAGTGGTTTTTCTTGATTGTACTTCCTCTGGTTATCTATATGGTACTGGTGTTTGAACTCAGGGCTCTCCACTTGCTAGCCAGGTACTCTACTGCTTGAGCCATGCCTCCAGCCTTCTCATTTACTTGGTACCTCAATTACCTTGTCTTAAAAATTTACAAACCCTCTGTTTTCTCTGTTTTATCTGCCTGCCCACTCTTATACCCTGACTCCAGAAGTTCTTCATCTCCTCCAGTGCTTAGGTCCTTTGGCCAAGCTGTTTTATTGACCTTCAGCCCTTGTTTCATTCATTCATTTGTTCAACATATACTTATCACCTCTCAGAGGACCCTGCTGAAACCCCCTCCCCTTAAGAGACCTCGACACCCCAGTTCCCCAGTTAAGCAGGAAGTAGACAGAGGAACATCAGCACAAAAAGAAGCCATGTTAGAACTGGATCCCTTCCCCCTTCAAGATTACTTACTAGAAACTCAAGACATTTCACCTGGACCCTTTTTGTTAGCAAGGAGTGGGGTGTGAATAAGGATTGTCTTTGGTTTTTCATATATCATCACACTTAACAAAATGAATTACAAAATCCCAGGTTTAATACATTAGTGGTCTGACTGTGGTATTGTGTACTACATAAATAGCCATTTATCCACTTAGATATAGATGACCTCCTTGTGACCTGGGTGAAGGGATGGACTAAATTCAAGATTCCTTTTACTTCTTTTGTTCCATGTAAGGTTCTCTAGTTTCCACAATTATTAACTAAATAATAATTGTATTATTTTATTTAGAAAAATAAATTGGTTTTGCATTATCTGTCTTAACAGAATCTCAACAAGATTAGTTGTGAAATACATAACACCAAAAGAGAAAGCCATTTCATTTTTCTATTATAGCTATAAAAACCTTTCAATAACCAAATGACAAGGTTTTCTCTATTTGACCTCAAAAAGACCTAGCTAAAGCATGCATGAAGTCTACAGTAAGGACAGTGGCTGTCAGAATATTTTAATTACATTTACTTTACATAGGTTGAATTTCTGGGGCTGTATAAATGAACAATTTCCTTGTGGTTCCCCCTGACAGGGTGATCATATAATTTAATGAACAAAGTGAGATATTTTTGGAGCTAAAAGAGGACATTATAATCACTCCAAGAATACAGGCATAAACCAGGACTCCGCCATGTAAACCAAGATACATGTTTTCTCTACTATTGGAGAATTACAACTAATATTAGCATAGCCGACTTAACACAGTTAAGACTAGGGTCTAAAAAGACTTCAAAACCATGCTTAACAAGCTTCCTCCAACTTTCAAAGATCTGTACTATACTATGTTGCGGCTTCAGTAAAAAACTTTTGTCCAATTATATTTGATATTCTAATTTGATGACAGAAGACCCAATGTAGGCTATGAAAGAATAAGCTAGAAAACGAGAAAAAAAGAGATAACAAGCAATATCCAATTATTACATGATAACATAAAATTTAAAAATCATTTAAATTGTTTTTAAATGTAAAAAGCAAAAAAAATTAAAAGAGCCTATAATATATTTCCAGAAGTTGATATGAAAAACAATGAGAAGTCAGAGAAATTAAAGAGCTCCAATTTTATGACATCCTGGTATGCTACATTGAAAAACAGGGTATTGTCAGCCTGTGGAAACAACACCACAGGGATCCCATTTCAATTTCAAGCAGGCCACA